TAAGGTGGAGTTAGGCTTAGGTTCATATCATCTAATGTCCAAAAATATAAAAGAAATTTTCACATTTACATAATCGATGGTAATTACTTATCCATCATAAGTGTTGTTGATATTTCAATCTCATTAAATACTATTTTTATGTCTCATAATTTATCCATGAACTTTACAATTGTTGATCAATTGGTTGACAATAATTGTAATCTTCAATTTTCAAATTTTGGTTGTGTTGTATAGGATCAAGTGTCTAAAAAGACAATCACACAAGGACCTAAAGTGGAATGTCTCTTTTTGTTACTTCTATCTTCTTTCTCTATGTTGTTAAATTTTATTATTTGTAATGTTGTTTAATTTGATAATCGGATGTGGAATAAGTGTTTAGGCCACCTTGATTCTTATTTATTTTGCATGTTGCTTAAATTTGGTACTTGGTAATAAAAATTCAACTTCTATTGATGATGTCAATGTTGATTGTGCATCTTACAAGCTTGATAAAAGCAAAACTCTTCCATTTTCTTTCCATACAACCCATACTACTAAACCTTTCAAACTCATTCATAATAATTTTCTAGGGTATTACATCGGTAATTTCTCATTAATATTATAAATATTTTATCACATTCATTGATAATTTCACTCGTTTTACTTGGATTTACTTTTTTAGGTCTAAAAATGAGATTTTCTTTGTGTTTAAAGTCTTTCTTACCTTATATGAGACTTAATTCTTTGCCAAAATCAAAATCATACGAACCGACTCTAGTGGTGAAATATATGTTAAATGAATTTCAATCTTTCCTCTAAAGTCACAAGATTATATCACAATGTTTTTGTCCTTTCATTTCACAACAAAACAATATGGTTGAAGGAAGAATCGTCACCTTCTTAATGTTTTTCAAACTCTTTTAATTGATTTTTTTGTTTCCCTTTGTTTTTTGTGTGAAGCTTTGTTTACGTTGTTTATTTAATAAACAGAGTTACCTTTTCTAATTTTGGACAATGCTTCATCCTATCTTTGCTTGTTTGGGCATGGATCGGATTATCAAATCTTCATAGTTTTAGATATGTGTGTTCGTTCATCTTCCTACATATGAGAGAAATAAAATCACTACCCAATCTGTCAAGTGTGTTTTTTTAGGATATGCTAGGCATCAAAAAGGCTTTATTTTCTATGATTCTCATGGTCATCATACTCGGGTTTTTAAAAATGTAATTTTCTTTAAAAATTAGCCTTTTTTTTAGCACACAATAGATTTTAGAATCTCCTTATATATCTATTTTGCCATACTTTTTAGAGTCCTCGGCACCAATACAAAAATTCAAGTTTGGTTATGTTTATCAAAGATGCCCTCCACCCATATCCGATCCTTCTACAGGTCCCATTAAGGTTCTTCTATATCTTTCTTTGGTATCCGATCCTATTATACCCATTGTTAGTGATCTAGCTCCTCTTTGTAGAAGTTCTAGAAATCATAAACCTCTTAATCGGTATTGATTTCCATCCTTTATGTCTATGTCCTGCTACTTTGCCTTCTATTTCCATTCCCTCTTGTTATAAGTAGGCCATGGAATATGAGTGTTAGCAATGGGCAATGGAAGAAGAACTTTAAGCACTTCGAGAAAATTAGAAATGGGATATTGTCTTTTATCCTCTAAATGTCAAACTAATTAGGAGTAAGTGGGTTTATAATATGAAATTCAAGTTTGATGGCTCTTTAGATAGATACAAAGCTCGACTAGTTGCTCTTTAAAATAAACAAGAATATGGGCTTAATTATAAAGAAACTTTTTGCTTTAGTTGCCAAGATGACCACGGTAATAGCTATTCTTGCTATTGTATCCTCTAAGTTTTGATTCTTACTTTAAATGGATATAAAAAATTCCTTCTTAAATGGGAACCTCAAAAAAAAAAATTTACATGAAACTTCCATCCGGTATGTCAGTCACTTCTCATCATAAGGTGTGCAAGCTAAAACGATCTCTATATAAAATGAAGCGAGATCTCTAGAACTTGATTTGAGAAGTTTTACAACACCTTTTTGAACTTCTTTTTCACCTAAAGCTAATATGATTTGTCTCTCTTCTTTTACAAGACAGTTGTGGGTATGGTCCTTCTCTTGGTATATGTTTATGATATTATCATACTAATAATAACAAGTGAATGATTTACATAGTATATTTCATATGAAGATTCCGACTTCTCAATTATTTCTTGAAACTAGAGATTCACTCTCGAGCATATGGTTTACTCTTAGATCAACATAAATATGTCCAATATCTCATTGACTTGGATTGTTTGACAGATTATGCTCCCGTTGATACACTAATAGAGGTGAATGTGAAATATCAAAAAAATAAAAAAAGATGAGCTTCTACTTGATCCCTTTCTCTATAGGTGACTAATTGGTAATATTATCTACCTAACTATTACAAGGCATGATATCTCGTATGTCGTCCATATGGCTTGTAGATTTATGCAATCACTTTGACATTTTCATCTTGTTGCGAGTTCGACACATTGTTCGATACTTAATTAGATCACTTACTCGGGAATTGTTATTTCTCGTAGGATTTTCTCTTCACTTGACTACATATAGTGATGCAGATTGGGTTGGATATCCAAATACTAAAAAATCTACAACCGACTGGTGCATCTTGCTTGGAGATGCTTTGATTTTTTGGAAGTATAAAAAGCAAAATTGTGTTTCTAAATGTTCTATAGAAGATGAATATAGAGCCATAGTTGTAGCTTGTTCTAAGGATCCATGGTCGCATGGTCTCCTTTACGAACTTGGGTTTATTCAAAATGTTCCTACTCCATTTCATGGTGATAATACTAGTGACATTTAGATAACTACTAATCCAATTTATTATAAACGCACCAAGCACATAGAGGTGAATTGTCACTACATTCGGGATGCCTTTGATTGTTGTTTTATCACTCTTCCTTATATCACTACTAATCTTCAAATAATCGATGTCTTCGCCAAGGCTATGATTCGCTAGCGACATCGGTTTCTTAGTACCAAATCAATGTCTGGTGGACTTACTCACATCAATTTGGAGTGGGGGTGTTAATGGAATCATTTTATCATTTATTATTCTTTCCTTATTATCTTATCATTATTTATTAATAAAATATGCTGAAGTAAGGAATTTGTTGAAAATTCCTTGATTTTCGTTCAAATATCTTTATTATATAGTCTATATTTTTGTTGTAATTAGGCCTTAAGTTAAGGGATCTGATGTACTATTGATGTCTATATATTGTAAATCTTTTAATAGAAGAACAAAAAATCTCTTTAATTTTGTCACATACAAAACATAGATTCTGTGCTTATCCTAGAGATATTCTTCCTTGTAAGATTGTTATTGTAGATAAACAATGATAGGATTCACATACGCAAAGTTACTAGAGGTTAGCCTTAAAGATCAGAGAACAGAGAAGAAAAGCACGGAGACAACACACGTCTTCGACCATTTTTAGTTTTCCTATTTCACTAACTTGGAGGCACGATAACAATGTCCAACTCTAACAAGTTTCTACAAGACAGTTCCCTTACAAAAGACTTTGTCATGATTTCTTTTCCTGCCATGGACAAAATTTAAGAAACTTATGATTTCTCCGAGATCTTCATGCCAATAAGAATCGCCTCTGGCTACAGAACTGATGTTCTAGATATGTCTCAGGAAGTACACATGCTTGTATCCAGACATCACTTGGTGGTCCAATTTTGGCTACATTTTCAACCCTGTCAAACCATGAAATTAAACCCTACCAGCTAAGTATGTCGCTACACGAATGAACATGATCAAACAAAATATCAGCAATCCAACTTGTCACCTAAACTATTGAAAACATGTATGTTTGGTGTGAAGAAATGCCAGCAGAAATTTTTGCACCAAACCTTACTTTCTTGAATCTGACAACGGCACAAGAACAACATTTAAGTACTAAGAGCTCTCATTCCACGGTCTTCAGGACATAGCAGTCGATGCAGGACAGATCCCAGCAGTTCTTTTGATATTCCTATCAATATACAGCAACTCAGCTTCAACAAATTTTTCTTCGATTAACTTGCCTTCCCCTACAACTTGCAGAAATCCAAATTTATATGCTATATGGAGCAGAAGCAGAGAAGTTGACAGATTTTGTTTGAAGAACAAACTAGCTTGTCAGTCATTATAAATTAATGTCAATGTCACCTCCCATTCACATAGCTAGCATATGATATTCTTTATTAGCCACTAGACTCTAAGCTATTAAAACGTTTTCTTCAGGTCATAAACATTGAAAAGTCCTGCGGTCTGCAATAACAAATAAAAAGTAACCATGAAACAAGCCTAGGAATTTCTTCTCTGCTTCAAATGCTCCACTAGAACCAATCTGATCCAAATCATCTAAAATTTTCCCTTGGGTGGCTGATTATACAAGTTGAACAAGCTCACTGAATCTGCTGTTATAGCAAATTAAGGACTTAACCATCCATTCTGAATCCAACGCCTGTGAATTGTAATCGATGAATGAATTCTGTCAGAAACATTAATTATACGTCTATAGCTGTAACCATGCAATTAGTTCCCTTGCAATGTCCTTTTTGATTAAGTAAATGAAGCCGTTATTCAAACTAATAGGAACTTCCTCTGATACTAAAACTTAAGTAATCTTTGCTTTGGAAAATTGATTGGTACACTCTTCTGTTCGAGCAGCGCTCGATCTTCTCTACTGTAACTTCCTCAGAAATTGTGCTCTTCCGTCAGTATTTCTCCTTGAAGAACATGAATTTCCTCCACTGATACATGTTCTTATTACAAAAATATTATGCTAATAGTTAAACATTTGGATGCCTGAGGCAGAATTATTAGATCACAAAAATAATTTACATGATCGTTAATTTACACACATATCATCTTTGAATTACATAATTTAAATGACAAATTTAGCATCAAACATAAAACGAAAACCACAATATATATATATATATATATTTGTGCGCGTGTGTGTCTCAATGCATTTTGAGATCAAATTTTTCAAGAAGGGCTTGCATCTTAGCAATGATAGCCAAGCTAATACTCAAGAAATGTTCAGATCTCTCCATCTTGGCCTTGATATCGTCAAGAAACTTTGATCCCATCTCCTCCAAACCGTCTATGCAAGTATCTTGATCTGTCATGGCAGCACTGATCCATGTCTGGATCTCGTTGACTTTTTCTAAAGTCAGCATCTTCTCTCCAGGTCCAACCTCCATTGCCAACAAAGAATCGTTGAGTTTACTCAATGAATCATCAAACTGACTCATACAATCTTTCATAGCAGCCTGGGAGTCAACATAATTGAGACTAGTCAATAAAGAAGAGAGGTTTTTGAGCTCTCTAATGGAGACTTGGAGAGAGAGCTTGAAGATGGCTTCCGGGTCGGGTTTTGTAGAGATGTTAAGAGAGGATATGCTGGTGAAGCAGGAAGATGGATACAGAGTCATGTCACAGACTGTTTTGATTGACTCAGCTGAGTTTGCTGAGGAGAGGTATGGGGATTCATCTGGCTCGGTATTTGACTCATGGATCAATGCTGCAAGCGCTAGACCGACTATTAGAGTCAAAAGGAGGATGGATAAAATGCTGAGGATGAGGATTCGACGTTTTGAGGCACTTTTCTGTTGGTGAGGGTTTTGATCTTCAAGGTGCGGACTCACTTTGCCATAGCCTCTGAACAAGTTAACGGATTCCATGACAAATCAACTTAATTTTATGTTTTTGGGTTTAGAAATTGACAAGAGGTTTGAGGGAATTGAGATTGATGTTCTTCGGAGGGTTTGAGATTTGGAAAGGAAAATGAAAATCGTTGAAGTGGTTATCCAATACGTTACCAGTTTACGACCAAGTCTAAGCCTTTTCTTTCACTCTTCTTTTTATTTTTTGCAACCTAAACCTAGTCCTTTAACTTATTATAGCATCATCAAGTGAGTCTCAATCTTTCAATTTGATTAATTTTGCTCTAAATATAACGGACATTATACAATGTCTCTTCTCGAGTCACCTATATAGTCAAATATTCTATCCAATTGCATGTCTTCGTTAATTGTTTTCATTAAAAACACTAAAATAAACTCTAATTTGTCTTAATGAATAATTTTAATGTAAAATTATAAGAAACTTTCCTTTTATATGAGCAAGAAAAATAGAGAAAAAAGAATACTATGAATTGATACTAAAATTATCTTTTAGTTTATATTGAGACTTATTTAATGCTTTTGATGAAATAATTTATTTAATGAACATGTTCAAATTAGATGAAATATTTAATTATTACTAATATTAGATAGATTGAGTAGTTACATTATATAAGTCTATTACATTTGGAGAAAATTGATAACTCAATTAATAATAATAGGATAATAGATTACGAATTAGACGATAATTTTGCTTTTTTCTCTTTCTCTTTTTTTTTTCTCTTTCTCTTTTTTCTTTCACAACCAAAGATTAGAAGTGAACACTATTTAGTTTAAACTCGAAAAGCCAAATGGAAATGTAATACTCGGATGTAATTTTTATATTTTGCACGAATATTTATTTTGTTAAATATGTTTATGTCATGTTTGTATTATTAATGATAAGTGTTTTGTTTATAAAATTAATGTTTGTTAAGTGTTATGTGTGAATAGTGAATTAATTGATAAGTGAAAAACTTAGAAAATATAGTTTAATTAAATGATTCTCATACATGTATAACTTAAAATTTAATTAATGACCTAAACATGTATTAATCTAAGAACTAATATCCTAATTAGGTGTTCCTCATAAATTAAAATGTCTAAGTGTAAAATAACCACTTTAGGATATGTAGCTCATTAAGGATATTTTGGACCAAAATTTCGGCCAAAAGAGGGAAATGAAAAGGAGAAAATTTTGTTTAGTTTTCACTTCATATTTCATTTGCCTCCATCCATATTTGAGAGAAAGCTTGAACACTAAGAGAGAAAGAGAGCAAGAGAAACCAAATCACAAAAGAGAGAGTAAGAGAGAATCGAAATTTACCAAAGAAAGAAGCTGAAATTGTCCAAAGTAAGCAAGCTTGGCCGAAAGGACGAGAAAATTACCGGGAGGGAGAAGGGGTTGTTTTGATCGAAACTTTAGGCAAGGAAGAGAGGTGTGATTTTTTGGGATTTTAAGGTGATTTCATTTTTAATCAAACCTAAGGTAAATGTAACTTTAACTCACCATAAGACTTAAGGTAATTATGTGTTGAATTAGAGATTTGTATTCTTGTTAAACTTAGGGTTTTTTACTCGTGTGTTTGATTGAATTATGTGTAATTGATGTTTGGATTGTGAAACTGATAAAAAATTAGTTGTGGTTGTAATATCTCAAATTGTTATTAAATGAGTTAAAAATATATTAAAGGTGTAAAAAGAGGTATAATCTTTTTGAAAATCAATGTCTTTTCAAAAAGGTATAATCTTTTTGTGTCCGTAAAATTCTCCGACATGGAAACATTTGGCCTCTCTTTTTGAAATGACACTCGTTTCTACAGACTCTAAGCATTAACTTACACATGCTCTCATCAACTTAAGCAAAAATAAGGCAAACATGAACAACTCTTAATTTTCTCTAAATAGAAAAAAATATCATTCTGAGAGCCCAAACAACTTATTCCAAATAAGCCAAGCTTGCTTGCCCAAACTTGGGGAGACTATGAACCAGCTAGGATTGCATGTGTCATCCTACTTATGAACCTGAATGACACAAGTCAATCAAGAGACGCTAGGCATATTACACCTAAGAATGAGATACTTTATCCTCTAAAGAATTGGCTAGTGCTCCAACAAAATATCAATATTCTTTTAATTCAAGGTACTTATCTCAGACGAAGAAAGATTTACTCTACCAACTATCATGACAAAAAAGACATACGTTTAATGAAAACACACTTTGAAAATTGTCATTGTTTAGTCAACACCAACCACGATAATATTAACACCATTAGAGAACAAGTCACATCAAGAGTATAAATCTTTTAAGTTAGTATCAATGACTATTGATGACAAGGAAAAAGATGGATCTATCCCTTTCACTATGCAACTTGATATAAATCTCACCTATATAAGAACTCTAATCACCATAAGTTTTAGGTTCTTAATGCTCCACTCTCTAAGATATATAAATTATTCATTATATCTATCAATCACACAATCACATACAAAAACCTAATCAAGTCACTCTTATCTTTTTTGTTACTTATTTTATCATCGGAGAGTTCCTTAACTCACTAAAAGAACTTGTTTTCGAGTACATTATGCAAAAAAGAAACACCAAAAAATAACTAATCTCTATCATCCATTATCAGCCATCAAGAGCCATGTGTCCTTAAATTACTGTTTAAGGTTTTAAGATACATCAAGTTCTTAGAACAGTCTCTTTACAGAAACCCCTCACGGAGATTATTTACTTGCTTGTTCTTTCATTAACAGCCTAATTAACGTACTTGTGTGCTCTCATGCTTGTTTACGTAGAAAACTATGAACAAAGCAAGCTTCTTATCAAGCTATTGCTTTCTGGAGAATGAGTGTCCGACTCTCTCTCTCTTTCTATTCTTTCTCTTTCACCGGGATGAATACATTGGAACATCAACATTATGTAATCAAATATTTCCTCCACATAATAATAAACAGTACGTGTTTATTTCATGAATATTCAAGTATTTCGAAATGCAGCTCATTTGTGGATTTGTAAGAAACTATAAATTATAGTTCTCCTTCATATATTTGTATCTCTATATTAAGAAGGAAATTAGGTGATTGTTTTTTCGTCTTATGGTCGTGAAGACCAGTCACAACTTTTGAGTTTCAATAGACTTGGTATCATTTGATTTGACTCAAAACATTTGTGATCACAAGTAACAGCAGAACCCATATTTTAAATAAAGAATTGATGGCATAATTTATTCTTAGAATATTATAGTTATAGTAAAATTAAATCTGAACTATAAATTTGATCTATTTTGTTTTTAAATTATTATCTTTTGAACACATTATGTTATTCAATCTGATTGAATCATTCCTAACCGATGATCATATTTTTATTTTATTTTTTAAAAACAATTATGTTGAGATTTTCAATCAACAATTAAAATTTGACCATCAGCCTTAACAATTCCAAAAAATAAAAAAATAAAAAACATTAAACCTTAATAATTTGATAACAAAATAGGTCAAATTATTATTCAAATCTTATTTTATCACCTTCGTGATATCTTTTTGAAGATAAAATACGCCAAATTAAACCCAAACCACTAGTTGTCATTATAAATCCGGGACAAGTATGATTAACAACTCATGGCCAGACATCGTATGTCGGTCCAATACAGGAGGACACCCAACATCGGATTCAAATTCGACAGCCCAAGGTTTCTAGTAAGCACATGAATTTGAAGACCACAACAAATATGAAAGAAACTTGAACTAAACAACAACCTAAATTACGAAAAAACGTGCAAAATGTTTAAAGGTATGGCCAATAATAGCATCTCCTAAAAGCGATCTTCAGATCCTAAATCCATGGATTCCATGTGTTAGAACAAAAAAGCTTATACACAATTACATATTGATGGCCATAGTAGAAGGTCGATAATTACAGAGACGTGAGACACGCAAAGCAACCAAACAAACATTCAAGTTGGAAATCGGTAATATAACTACCACGTATAATTTGCATCAGCAAGTACAAAATTATCTAATCTAATTCTAAAATAAAAACGAAACAAACTAAAGCCCAGCTTCTTTCCCTGCTCTTCTAAAGCTAGACCAACAACCTAATTCAATCTCATTTGGATTACAAAGTCTTCAAATTTTTCTAACCGAACTTAAGCTTGGTAATCATTGTTTACCATCACCGTTTGTTGCCAATCCAAGCTTTCTAGAATCTCTCTCGTTTCGAAGCGGCGCCGTTTTGCACTCCAACCCCTTCTTTCTATGCTCTTCTTTCCCATTCCGCACCGTAATCGCATCATAAAAAACGACGCCTCAGTTCCCAACACACCAAAAGATGGTGACTTTTCCCTTTCCATAAAGATAGATGCACCTTCCAGAAGAAACCATCTTAAAGGACACGTGTCGTTTAAAAGTCGTGCTCCAATCTGGTCGGACAGTCAAATCTCACATATCATTTCCCAAGCTCTAACCACCGCTGATCCTGATGACCGGAATTTCCTGAATTACCATCCAACGGCTCTGCTTTAACACCAGATCCATGCTCATTCCCATCCGTTGGTTGCCGACCCTCCTCCTCATCGTCTATCCTCACGCGCTTAACTCCAATAGAAACCCCAAACAGTCTCGGACTCAACTCCTCCTCCGTGACCGCCGCGGCAACCCTAGGCCCACCACTAACCGCCACTTCCTCCGCCGCCGGTAACAGTCCCAAAGCAGCCTTAACATCCGTCAAATTGTTATTGCTGTTATTTCCACTATTACCCTCTAACTGACAAGACGCGTAATTATTCATCAACACCATTATCTTATTACACAAATCCCTCAACTGAGTCAACTCGTGAGTGAGCGCCGAGTTCTCCTTCCTCAACCTTTCGTTCTCCTCCAGAATCTCCAGCGTCGTCGTACAGCTCGTCGTTCGGAGCAACGAATTAGCTCCTCCCGCCGTCCCTGCCCCGCCAGGCGACGACGTTGACGACATTCCCTGGTCGTCGCCAGAGTTCGCCGGCGAAACAGTTTTCGCCACCGCGGGGATGGCGGCCACCGTAACAGTGGCAGAAGCAGCCGCTGATGCCGCCGTCGGAGAGATTTTCCTGCGCTGAATATCGCGAAGAAGTGCTTTCTCGCCTCGCCGGAAACAATCGTTCGCGAATTCCCATCGATCTGGTACCACCTTTCTAAATCCCTAAAAAATATGGCAAAAAATCACAAAAGAAATACTAAATTTTAAAGCAAAACAAAACAAGTTAATGATTTTAATCGAGTTAAAATTAATGCTTACGTAAGTGTTTAGTTGGCGAACGAAACTAGAGAAGTTGTTGTGCTTGAAATATTTAGGCAACAAGTCTCTAGCGAATTCTGCAGGACGCCATACTATGAAGGTTGATCCATCTTCGTTCCACGAAATTAAGTCATCAACCGACAGGTCATCAACTAACTGATATGTTTTGGTTAAAAATGGAGTTGGGAGAGATCTTTGTGAATCACCCGATCCTGATGGTGGTCCGCCTGCTACTGCTGCTCCTCCGCCACCGGAGGCGGGTGATTCACCGGTTTGTTCCACCGGCAATGGCGGCATGGAAAGTTCGGTTTTAGATCCTGAACCCTAACAAAAAACTGGAAGCATAGAAAATTTCTTTCAGTCAAGGAAAAATAAAAATATTAAGAAGCGAATAACAATATTCATCCTCCTTTCGTTTTCTAGAAAGGGTAGGAAAATAAAACCAATACAGAAAAGAAAAGAAAATCGATTGTTATAAAAAAAAAAAAAAAAAAAAGGAAAATGAAGTACTTGAATAAGCTAAATTCAACTGCTAAAAACTATTCTAAGATGAGTTATTCCTCAACAATGGAAACCGAAACAGCAACATCAGACGTTGGTTTTAATTTTTAAAATATCATGGTATCCGGCCGTTTCTCGTTGTTTTTTTTTTTTTTCCGGTAACAATATAAGAATACTTGAACAAGGAAACAAATCAGTAAGAATCTCGTCATTCATACCCGCAGAGAACAAAAAAATGGCAGATTCTTTCCTTCTTTGTTCTAGAGGTGGTGAAGTTTTCCACCAACTAAACAGAAAATAACGTTTACCAAACTCGAAGTTCGAGCAGCTTATCTTTTGCTTAATCAAATGGCATAGAAGGAAGAACCGCCGACGGACAGGAAGTAGCGAAGATTGACGTTGGAACTTGGGATTGAGAGAGTTAGGTTTTTATTGTTTCTAGAAGTTTCTGGGTGGAGTAAATGATAAGGAGAAGAAAGAGAAAATCGGGAGTTCGAGAAGGAAAGGGAACTAAAAGGGCCAAACAAGGTCAGGGCCCCACGGAAACACACAGATTAGATAATTTAGATGGATTAGAGCGGATGGGAAGGCGCCAGAAGGTGGTGTGGTGGCTTCTTTTTAGTTCCTTTCCAGAAGTTTCTCTTCTTCCTTTCTCTTCATAGCAACACGTCATCGTTTCTTTTAACTGTAAATTTTATTTACTATTATTTGGGTTTAGAAAGACTTGGGCTTGTATATGGATAATGGACCACCCAAAGGCCCAGTCCGTGTTTCTCCATCACAACGGCTATTAAGAAAGTGGTGTCGTTTCATATCCGGCAAGCCTACTTTAATTAAATCTACTAAGTACTTATTTCCTACAGTTTTGGTAGCACCTGTCACCTTTTGAAGATGTTGAAAAAAATAAAATGTTTGCATTCGAAAGCTCCCAAGCTTCTGGATAAGGCAGATTGAGTGGAGTGATTTCATTTAGAATTTGAATAGATGGCTTGTGAAAGGATGTCGGAGGACCACACCCTTGCTAGGTCTTCATGTGCCAAGTACCAAAAAGCACCAGAGTCACTCACTTGAAGATTGTTCTAGTCGGATCATCATGTGGCGAATATTGGTTGAATAGATCCATGATGTGAAGGACAAAACCAGGAGCAATGTACTTTTCCTGATAGTATATTGAGAGAAGTCATATATATGAATAGAAATCATAAACCACAATTTTATTTTATTTTTTACAATTAAAATTAAAATTAACTAATCAATAATAATTAATGTAAAAATAAATAAATACAATCACAACCAACACATGAATTTCTATATATATATAAAAAAAATCCTAAAATAGAGAAAAACAAATTCTTTCACTGCATCAAATAATGAGAAACAAGATCATTTGAGATTTATATCTCAACTGAAAGATATACATCAAGACATCAAAATCATAATTCTAAATATAGATTCCAACAATAAAAAAAAAAAAAGATATCTATAAATAAAATATTAGCAAATACTTAAAAATGAAATCTTCTTAATAATCAATAATATTCAAGTTGAAGAGCTCTTTGCTAAGAGAACGTATTAAAATTTTATATTCATCGGGTTTGAAATGATTATCCAATCAAAATAATAAAGATAAAGAGCACACATTTTCTACTTCCTCTCTCACAGCCAAAACGCCACTCTCTCCTTTTTTACTATTGTCTCGTCATTTCTTATGTTTTGTAAAATAAAAAATGTTTTATTTTTATATATATAGTCATATAACATGTGACCGTAATTTAAGAAAATTTTGCCTTTCTTTTCTATTTTCTTGCAATTTCTTTCCTCTTTCCTTTTTTTTTTTTTTTTTTAAATTTATGTAGGTGTTTTCTTACTTCTCACTTATTTAGATAGGTTAATCAAGCTTGTTTGTCTTCTACAAAACTCAAACTTCTCTCTAGATAAAAATTTGGTCATCGTATTTAATCTATTCTTTTCGGTATGGATCTTTTCAATAACAAGATTTCATATCTATAGCATCTCAAATCCATTTGAATCTAACCTCAAAGTGCTTCAATCGAGGTTAAAGAGTAGGATGTTTATTGAGATGGATTGCACTCTAACTATCACAATATATCACAAAGTTCTATTACTTTAGTCCAAGTTCATGTAAAAAAAGAAAAAAGAAAAAAGAAAATCATCCATGTCAACTTTTTACCTCCTTAAAAAATAACAATGTATGCAGCTTTTATAATAGATAAATCAACATATTTATGCAACTTTGACTATCATGAAACTACTTTTTTTGGCAAAAGTCATCAAATACCTCAATATAGACTTTTGAAAATTAATGTTACTAGTCATATCTACATATGTGTATCCATCTAACACGAGTTTACCATTACCAAAATGCAAGTTGAAATTGGAAGTACTTTTGAAATAAGTGAACATATTTTCACTATAAACCAATATTTTTTTTATCAAGATTGGATAAGAAAAGACTCACCATACCAATTGCATACAATATATCTAGTCTTGTACATACTATAGCATACATTAAGCTATTAAATGTAGATGCATAAACAACTTTCTTTGTCTCATTTCTTTCTTCACCATTCGAAGAATACTATTTAGAACTTAACTTAAAATGGCTTCGTGAGTGAAGAACAAATAGGTTTAAAATTATCCATGTTGAATCTTTCAAGGACGTTTTAAACATATCTTTCTTAAGATAACCAAAATTTCTCATTCTTCATGTCACTAGTAATCTTCATACCAAGATTCTATTTTGTCAATCCCAATCCTTCATTATAAAAAACTTGGTGAACTATTTATTCTTTCGAATCTTTACAACATTATGGCTAACAATCAATATATCACCCACATATAGCAAGACAATAATAAAGTCTCCATCAATAAATTTCTTAATAAACACATAATGATCAAAAGTGATTTGACCATAAATATGTTTCATCATTAAAGAATCATACTTCATATACCATTGTCTTGGAGCATGATTCAACTCATATAAAACCTCTTTCAGTTTACAAACTAGTTGTTCTTTGCCTTTCTCTTTAAACCCTTCGGGTTTTATGGTGTAGATCTCCTTGTCTAGGTCACCATAGAGGAAGAAATTTTTCATATTAAGTTGTCCAACTTCAAGATTTAAGTTAGCGACTAAATCAAATACAAACAGATCAAAGATATCTTGACCACAAGTGAAATTTTTTCTTTAAAATCAATACCCTTGTTCGGTCGAAACCCTTTACAATTAAACTTGCCTTGTATCTTGGTTATGAGATTTTTTTTTTTTTTTTTTAAGTTTTCAACCTAAACAGCTTATTTGTTCTTGAGTGCTTTTTACCTTTAGAAAGCTTTACTCACTTGAAACTCGTAGTTCTCATGTAAGGATTTTATCTTATCTTGCATGACTTTCAATTATTTTTTTATATAATATAACATAGTTTTATCAAAGAATTATGACTCTCCCTCATAAGTAAGATTTAGTAGACCTTCTCAATTATAACTCACTCAATGCTTATTGAACAACTTGTTTAGGAGCAACAATATCATCGTCATCATCATTAATTGGTTTATAATCGTCAACTAATAACTCAACAAGCAAACCACCACCAAGCATCATCATCATTCTCTAAATCTCTCTCATGATTAAAAGGCATAAAAGATAACTATAGAGTATGCCTTGTATATGAAATATTAGGAATAAAACTTAAGGACTCTATTTTTTTTATTTATTTAAAATCTGATAAGTGTGTAGTAATGCCATAAAATTAATTCACTAAACCTCATTAATATAGCTAGCGACAAGTTTAGGTCAATCCACAAGGACTAATTTAATTGTTATTCTAATTCTTATTTATGCTCGATTGAGATAATTAAATAAAGAAAAAAAGATATTTTACAGCTCAAGTTCAATGTATAAAAGTAGTAATAAAGTCCGAGAAGTTAATCAATTAGAAAACATCTTGACCACAAGTAAACTTTACCTTTAAATTGCAAGTCGATCATTGATGACACTTAAAGATACTATTTATAATTTACCATTTAATCTATATTAACCTAAGAAGCTTATATTAACTATGTTCTTCTTATTTAATCATCAAACACGTGAAACATGTAAATTTGAATCCTTATTATTGAACCATATAGACAAGCTCTCTATAAGTAATTCAATAATAATATTAACAATTTAAAGAACAACGAAAATAGATAATTAGCATAGAAGTTAGTTGGTTTAACTTGTACTCTTTTATTCTAGAATTAGAATGATATCAATATTAGAAATTACTTAACCTTATTGCTATTATGAATAGGTTTTATAACGATTATGTATTATAAACCCTAATCTAGTAATTATTCATCGATTATTATTACCTAATAGTACTCCTAACTAATTACAAAAAAAGAATATAATACTAATGAGTTAGAAGAATAAGAGATAGTAAATATAAATAAATTATAAAATAAACTAAAAAATATCTCATAACTTGTTTTTTGAAGTCATTTTTCTCTTGAGCCAAAAAGAAGAATTAACTTTGCATCTTAAATGTAAAAATGCAAAAATAAAGAATTTCTCCTATAAAATAAAAAAGTATTCTAAATCTACAGCCCTATAAGCTATGTATACTTGTGTATAGATAGATATGTTAGCCCACAAGTCCTATTTAGGACTCGTGTTTAAAATTAATTAAGACTTGTGGTTGAATAGGACTCTAACTTATATTCCGTATATTATGACTTGATTTTGGATCATATAATGGTCAAATTTAGTATCAAGATATCCATGAAATATATAGGTTTAT